TTTTCAACAAGTCGGCCGTCTCCCACCGAGGCAGGGTGACCCAAAAAAAAAAGAAAATCCCCAAAAAGAAATTACTTTCATCATCATTCAACACTTTCACCACACTCGCACATTATCACTGTTTTTGCAGAGGTGCTCAGAATACAACAGTCTAGAAGCATACACATATAAAGATACACAACATATCCCTCCAAACTGCCAATATCCCAAACCCCTCCTTTAAAGTGCAGGCATTGTACTTCCCATTTCCAGGACTCAAGTCCGACTATATGAAAATAACCGGTTTCCCTGAATCCCTTCACTAAATATTACCCTGCTCACACTCCAACAGATCGTCAGGTCCCAAGTACCATTCGTCTCCATTCACTCCTATCTAACACGCTCACGCACGCTTGCTGGAAGTCCAAGCCCCTTACCCACAAAACCTCCTTTACCCCCTCTCTCCAACCCTTTCGAGGACGACCCCTACCCCGCCTTCCTTCCCCTATAGATTTATATGCTTTCCATGTCATTCTACTTTGATCCATTCTCTCTAAATGACCAAACCACCTCAACAACCCCTCTTCTAACCCTCTGACTAATACTTTTATTAACTCCACACCTTCTCCTAATTTCCACACTCCGAATTTTCTGCATAATATTTACACCACACATTGCCCTTAAACAGGACATCTCCACTGCCTCCAACCGTCTCCTCGCTGCTGCATTTACCACCCAAGTTTCACACCCATATAAGAGTGTTGGTACTACTATACTTTCATACATTCCCTTCTTTGCCTCCATAGATAACGTTTTTTGACTCCACATATACCTCAACGCACCACTCACCTTTTTTCCCTCATCAATTCTATGATTAACCTCATCCTTCATAAATCCATCCACCGACACGTCAACTCCCAAGTATCTGAAAACATTCACTTCTTCCATACTCCTCCTCCCCAATTTGATATCCAATTTTTCTTTATCTAAATCATTTGACACCCTCATCACCTTACTCTTTTCTATGTTCACTTTCAACTTTCTACTTTACACACATTCCCAAACTCATCCACTAACCTTTGCAATTTTTCTTTAGAATCTCCCATAAGCACAGTATCATCAGCAAAAAGTAACTGTCAATTCCCATTTTGAATTTGATTCCCCATAATTTAATCCCACCCCTCTCCCAAACCCTAGCATTTACTTCCTTTAAAAACCCCATCTATAAATATATTAAACAACCATGGTGACATTACACATCCCTGTCTAAGACCTACTTTTACCGGGAAGTAGTCTCCCTCTCTTCTACACACCCTAACCTGAGCCTCACTATCCTCATAAAAACTCTACAGCATTTAATAACTTACCACCTATTCCATATACTTGCAACATCTGCCACATTGCTCCTCTATCCACTCTATCATATGCCTTTTCTAAATCCATAAATGCAATAAAAAATTCCCTATCTTTATCTAAATACTGTTCACATATATGCTTCAATGTAAACACCTGATCTACACATCCCCTACCCACTCTAAAACCTCCTTGCTCATCCGCAAAACCTACATTCTGTCTTACCTCTAATTCTTTCAATTATAACCCTACCGTACACTTTTCCTGGTATACTCAGTAAGCTTATTCCTCTATAATTTTTACAGTCTCTTTTGTCCCCTTTCCCTTTATATAAGGGACTATACATGCTCTCTGCCAATCCCTAGGTACCTTCCCCTCTTTCATACATTTATTAAACAAAAGTACCAACCACTCCAACACTATATCCCCCCCTGCTTTTAACATTTCTGTCATGATCCCATCAGTTCCAGCTGCTTTAACCCCCTTTCATTTTACGTAATGCCTCACGTACCTCCCCCACACTTACATTCTGCTCTTCTTCACTCCTAAAAGATGGTTATACCTCCCTGACCAGTGCATGAAATTACTGCCTCGTTTCTTCCTTAACATTTAAAAGTTCCTCAAAATATTCTCGCCATCTACCCAATACCTCCATCTCCCCATCTACTAACTCCCCTACTCTGTTTTTAACTGACAAATCCATATTTTCCCTAGGCTTTCTTAACTTGTTTAACTCACTCCAAAATTTTTTCTTATTTTCATTAAAATTTCTTGACAGTGCCTCTCCCACTCTTTCATCTGCTCTCCTTTTGCACTCTCTCACCACTCTCTTTACCTTTCTTTTACTCTCCATATACTCTGCTCTTCTTATAACACTTCTGCTTTGTAAAAACCTCTCATAAGCTACCTTTTTCTCTTTTATCACACCCTTTACTTCATCATTCCACCATCACTCCTCTTTCCTCCTGCCCCCACCCTCCTATAACCACAAACTTCTGCCCCACATTCTAATACTGCATTTTTAAACTATTCCAACCCTCTTCAACCCCCCCACTACTCATCTTTGCACTAGCCCACCTTTCTGCCAATAGTCGCTTATATCTCACCCGAACTTCCTCCTCCCTTAGTTTATACACTTTCACCTCCCTCTTACTTGTTGTTGCCACCTTCCTCTTTTCCCATCTACCTCTTACTCTAACTGTAGCTACAAAATAAATAATGATCCGATATATCAGTTGCCCCTCTATAAACATGTACATCTGGAGCCTACCCATCAACCTTTTATCCACCAATACATAATCTAATAAAAATACTTTCATTACGTGCTACATCATACTTTGTATATTTATTTATCCTCTTTTTCATAAAATATGTATTACTTATTACCAATTTCTTTCTACACATAGCTCAATTAAAGGCTCCCCATTTACATTTACCCCTGGCACCCCAAATTTACCTACTACTCCTTCCATAACATTTTTACCCACTTTAGCATTGAAATCCCCAACCACCATTACTCTCACACTTGATTCAAAACTCCCCACGCATTCACTCAACATTTCCCAAAATCTCTCTCTCTCCTCTACACTTCTCTCTTCTCCAGGTACATACACGCTTATTATAACCCACTTTTCACATCCAATCTTTATTTTACTCCACATAATCCTTGAATTAATACATTTATAGTCCCTCTTTTCCTGCCATAGCTTATCCTTCAACATTATTGCTACTCCTTCTTTAGCTCTAGGAAGCATAGTTCCTTGATAATGTGAGTAGTCACGAAAGCGCTTTGAATTTCTCTATTCTTTCAGAGTGGTTGTTTTGCATATATATATATATATTATATATATATATATATATATATATATATATATATATATATATATATATATACAGTGGACCCCTGGTTAACGATATTTTTTCACTCCAGAAGTATGTTCAGGTGCCAGTACTGACCGAATTTGTTAACATAAGAAATATTGTGAAGTAGACTAGTCCATTTCAGACCCCCAAACATACACGTACAAACGCACTTACATAAATACACTTACATAATTGGTCACATTCGGAGGTAATCGTTATGCGGGGGTCCACTGTATATATATATATATACAGTGGACCCTCGACTAACGCTATTAATCCGTTCCTGAGAGCTCATCGTTAGTCAGAATAATCGTTAGTCAAGTTAATTTTCCCCATAAGAAATAATGGAAATCAAATTAATCCGTGCAAGACACCCAAAAGTATTGAAAAAAAAAAAAATTTAACACATGAAATATTAATTTTAATACACACAAACTGAAGAAGACATGCACAGTTACATGACACTTACCTTTATTGAAGATCTGGTGATGATTGATGGGATGGGAAGAGGGGAGTGTGTTGATGGTCTTAGTGTTTAGATGGGGGAATCCCCTTCCATTAGGACTTGAGGTGACAAGTCCTTTTTCGGGGTTATTTCCCTTCTCTTAATGCCACTAAGACCAGCTTGAGAGTCACTGGACCTCTGTCGCACAACATATCTGCCCATAGAGGCCTGTACCTCCCGTTCCTTTATGACATTCCTAAAGTGTTTCACAACATTCTTGGCCACAATAGTAGCGATGGTTGATTGGGGTTTTGTGTACAGCCTGGCCAGCTCGGAGACACGCACTCCACTTTCATACTTAGCAATGATCTCTTTCTTCATATCCATAGTAATTCTCACCCTTTTTGCTGTAGGGTTGGCACTAGAAGCTTTCTTGGGGCCCATGGTGACTTATTTTGCAGGTGCAATCACTAAAAAGGCTGTGATAATATGAAATGTTCCAATTGTATGCTTGGAAGCGACCGCCGTGGCTGGCTGGCTTGTAAACACTGGCCAGAAGTGGATGCGTCTCAGACGGAACGAATTGTGTTGGTCGAGATTTTTAGTGCTAGCCGAGGCAAAATTTTTGTGTTAAAATGTATCGCTAGTTGCATTTAACGTTAGACGATGCCATCGTTGGTCGAGGGTCCACTGTATTTATCTGCCATACACCTTACAAGTGGAGGTTTGCAAGTGCCTCTGCACCTTAAGTTATACAATACTCTATCTTCTCATTATAATTTCTTCTTGTTCCCAGGCCTTGTAATAATTGTAATAGGATAGTAGTGGGCTATTTGTACCTACAAGTATTCTTTACAAGCCTGTATATCAGCATCTATTTTTTTATTCATTGCTACATATATTATTATTACATTAATATGCTAGATGTCTTTTTATTGTTTGTGCATATCCCTAAAATATAGGAATGTTAATTGTACAAGAAAATGCTGTAAAAAATTAATATACATCCAAATCACCCTAGTTTCTTACCCTGACAAAGTTTATTTTCACTGACAAATATTGAGTAGCTCATCCACATAATGTCTCCCATAAATTGACTGCTAGATGTGTGAGAATTTATAAAGGATCCACAAAACCACTAAATTATTATATTAATGGGAAGTGTTAGACCTGTAGGGGTCATATAATGCCTGAGGGAATGATAGGCATTCAGGCTTGATTCAAGGAATTGGGGCACAGGTCCAATTAAAATTTTTTTTATTATTATTATCACACCGGCCGATTCCCACCAAGGCAGGGTGGCCCGAAAAAGAAAAACTTTCACCATCATTCACTCCAATTAAAATACTGTATATAAAAATATTGGGGAAAATTTTTTTATTATGTTATGTCCTTGTAATACAGTGTACACATATTTAAAATACATATGTAAAGACATGATACATTATTGTGGTGTGAAAGCCTTCTAGTATTTTATAAGATTAAGTAAATTTATACTCTTTCTCAAAACATGTTATATTTCTTAAAAAACTGAACCAAATGCATATTTTTTCTTAAACTATTAAAGTTGCCCCAATATAATGGATTTTTTTTTATTAAAACACACTGGCCATCTCCCAATGAAGGCCACCCAAAAGCTGCTTTGTCAAAACTGCAAAGACATCCCCACTTTCTTCAACATGCAGGACTCAAGTGTAGCTAACCCATTTCCCTAAACCCCTTAATATAGTAAATATTACTTAGCTCACCCTCAAATAGCACACCAAGCCATAAAAACCACTTGTCTCCATTCCAGTCTAACAAGCTCACACAAGTTCCAAGCACTCTCTCCCTCCCTCCCTCCCTCCCTCCTACCTTCCTGGGATGGATGACCCCTTACCCTTCTTCCACCCCAGCTTATACACCTTATTGGTTCTTCTGTTGATCCACAATCTTTTAATACCCAACTCACTTCAACAATCCCTCCCTAGCCCTCTGAATGATACCTTTGGTAACCAAATATTATCTTTTACTTTCTGTGCCCTGAATCCTCTGCATTACATTCATACCACACATTGCTCTAAAACATGACACTGCCACTGCCACTGCCTCCAGCCTCTGTCTTGCTGCAACATTGAAAGCCCAAGCTTTACACCCATATGAAAGTGTGGGTACTGCCATACTCTGGTACATTCCCCCTTTTTTTTCTTCCATAAATAAACTTCTTCCTTTCTACAGATGCTTCAACACACCATCTACCTTTCTCCCCTTGTCTATTACACAGTTCACTGCATGTTATATAGAACCACTTACCCACATGTCCACTCTCAAATATCTAATTACATTTACTTCCTCCATACTTCCTCCCATGAAATGCACAATCTTTCATTATAATTTGTATGTGCTTCAAATTACAATACAGTTGTTACAAAATTAGAATTACTAGTACTGTGATGTTTACTAAATTATTCTTAAAGACAAGGACCTATACATAAGTATCTGCTAAAGATATTCACCTTATCTTCACTTAACTTTCCCTCATGCTGAGGCCACTTTACGAGAATTCATTGTTGTACGATGACCCATTTGAATTGTTAATTCTGTATTCATGAAATACATCCAGTGTATGCCATTGACACTGTTCATAAACTGTACTAAAAATTCTTACATGTGGAATTAGGCGAGGTGACCTGGCTGAGCTTAGTTGAGCTGCCATGGACCTGGAAATCATCTACAGCATAATGCGAGGAATGCTTGTATGCAACACTTGAAGGCACCTCATTACCCATGTCAGGAATAGACCTATTGTGTTTCCAAAATATATACAGTATAATATGCATACTTTCCTTGAAAACTGTTCATTACCTACCTATGGCAGAACTACAACCATTGTGCATAACAGTTGCCTAATACAACTCTCCCTTAAACGGTCCAAATAGATCGACGTTCAAATCAGTAGTGCTCCAAAAGTAGATCTATGTTTTTTTTTTACATTTTCAAATATAACAAAAAAAAATGTAGATAAAAGTTTTTTTACACATTTTCAAATGTAAAAAAAAAAAAAAGATGTACATTTTTTTACATACATTCAAATGTTGAAAAAACGTATATAATATATGTTTGGACCGTTTAAGGGTTAAAGAAAAAAAAAATGTCCTGGGGGACCGTGTTGACTCAATAATCAGACCATTTAGTTGGTAATTTTTAAAAGGATGTTGGAATCATAATTTTTTCATGATAGTTATGCATTCTGAAAATATATTTTCTAACTGCTTTAAGTAAACATACAGCATGAATGTCCTCATTTTTGAGAGCTTGACCATTTAAGGTTACACTGTTAGGTGGCTTGGCATTATGCATGACAGACAGTGTCCTGGCAAAGAATATAATGTTCTTTCTCTTATATGTACATTCATACATGCATACATACACATACAAACACAAGAAGAGGTATAATAAAGCTTGTGGAGCAGGGAGAGAGTGGACCTACTGGCAACCAGTGAAGAGGCAGGGCCAGGAGCCATGAATCGACTCCTGCAACCACAATTAGGTGAGTACACAGATGCACACACACACTGCACAAACAGAGCATGTGTAGTATAACTGATAAAACATATTTGTGATCCAATGTTACTTCAAATGTGTTACACTACTGCCTTGTCAAAGTCATTGAAACTGTTGTTATCCCCATAACAATAAAATCAGTCCCAGTTTTAAAATATTTTAGGCTACCCCATCATGTAGAAATATTCAAATACACTGTTCAAAGGTAGCCTGAATCTTCAAAGACTTTACGGAGTTTAGCAGCTTCTTGATCAGATAGAGGCTGCAGAGGTGAACGGAGGGGGCCACCATAAAAACCTGTCCAATCCATGACTTGCTTCAGTCCTGGGATGCTAAAAGTCTTGGTAACCTGCATAGAAGAAAAAAACTCATTGAAAGGGTTAAAAGTTAATTTTACTCCCATTACTGACACGAGTTCATGACACCTTGATGCTCAACTATACCTAACCTTCCTTAATTTGTATTCAACTACTTCTGTGTTATACCAGCATCTGCTTCATTAGCAGCACAGCACAGGTTGTGCTGGGTATAAACGATTTGGGAAAAGATCCAAAATTAGCAAATGTTAAGATTAAAAGTTAAACACAACGTGATAAAAAACGTAAGATAATTTGCCAAGAAATGACAACAAAAATATTACAAAGAAATTTTATTAATGGTTACATACTGCAGAATTTGGAGCAATGAGCTTTTTCTGTAGATGAACAGCATCAGCAATTTTCCCCTCAACTGTAAGTCTATGGAGTTCACACACAGCTTCTCCAAGCACATTGGCCAGAGCACAAACACCACCAACACCACCTGAAGGGAAATATAATGTCACTGGTTGCTATTCATTTTGTGAAGAATTTACAGTTGAATGAAGCACCTTAACAGAGTACTTAACCCCCCTCCCCAACCAAAAAAAAAAATTACGAAAGATATAAAGGCCACACAAATTTGAAGAAGAATATAAAAGAAAAAATTTACATGCATAAACGTTGGGCTTTATAGACAGAGCTTACTGATATTTGGCAATGATCGTTTTGCCAGACAAGCTAAGGATATTTATTTTTTTTTTATTATGACTACAAAAATTAGCAAGGGGCTAGTAGCCCCTTCTGTATATATTACTAAATTTAAAAGGAGAAACTTTCGTTTTTCCTTTTGGGCCACCCTCCCTTGGTGGGATACAGCCGGTTTGTTGAAAGAAGAAGACAACAAAAATTAACCAGAATATCACAAAATACTTTAACTGAAGTTAAATAATATTAGCTAAAGTCTGCCTGGCCTCAGATAGATTAAGAAGGATTAAGTTAGATATTTTCTGTAAATTCTAGCAAGATTTAATCACTCTGACAAGTGACAATTACACCTACCAGCCGACTTACGACCTGCTTGACATACGACCACTCGACTTACGACCATGTTTTTTACGTCAGATTTCTGGGAAACAAACAACTGTTTGTGTTGTACACACTGTTTATCCTAAACCTTATGGTATAAAATACAGTACTAACAGCATAAAAAGTAAGGTAAAAATGAAATACCATAATAAAACAATAAAATAAAATGTTGATATTCAGTAGTAAGGTTCGACTTGCATCCATTTTGACTTACAACCAGCTGGTTGGAGCCAAGCTTGGTCGTAAGTTGGATGGTACCTGTACTATGTTAATTCCTGTTAATGTACATATAAATCCCTAGGAAAACATAAAAACAGTGCAACTACTGATTAAAAAATCATCACAAACACTACTAGTACAGCAGTAAGAAACCAATTACAGCACAGTATTATAAAAGGAGGAAATATTTGCTAATTAACCCAAACTTTTAGATATTAGATAATAGAATGATAAACTGAAATACGTACTTCACTGCATAAAAAATGTAATTAGGTCTTTCTAAGGTGCAAATATGGACAAACTTTTTCACATAAAAAACATTATTGTGCACAAATATACATGAAAGAATCATTCAACAATTTCATAAAAAAATTCTGAATGGCAATCAAGTATAGAATAAATTTAAAAATGCTTTATTACTAAACAAACACCGTACTGGTATAAAATGTGTGAAGCACAAAAATTCACTGTCTCACCTATCTGTAAAGTTGCTAAAAGATAACTAGCAGATCCAGCAAACACTTGGAAGTCTGACTCTTTTGTCTGATGTACTATGCTGCCAATTTTTGCGATCTGTAAAGAAATTAGTTTTTTGATGTAGTGGACTGTATGACTCATGTGCTTAGCTCATTTTGTGGTCTACAACCAATTTTATCAATCAATACATTTTCTAAATTGAATAACAGATCACAATACAGCTGCTTAACAGTGGTTAACATCTTACTGAGGAGACATATTCAAGTGTGACAGAGTAACCCTGTTGTGAGACGAGTCCAGGTACTGAGTAAAATGAGGATACTTAATAGTGTAAGCCTGGTCTGGTCAATACAAAAATGTTTGATAAGAGCTCATACTTAAGAGAAGTATCATTCAAACAGTGTTCAACAGCTTCTTGTCATTCCTTATTCAATGACATCAACATCATATGGCTCAAGAGAATAAAAAAAACAAGCATAACACTGTCTGCCAAATAACAGTGAACTTTCAACAACACCAAAATTTAAATTTACTAATGACATTAAAAATATAAAGCAAAGAAGGGTGGCCCCAAAAGAAAAAGATAAGTTTCTCTTTTTAACTTTAGTAATGTATCCATAAGAAAGGGTTACTAGCCCCTTACTCCCGGCATTTTAGTCACCTCTTATGACACGCATGGCTTACAGAGGAAGAATTCTGTTCCACTACCCCATGAAGATAAGAAGAAATAAACAATAACAAGAGCTAGTAAGAAAATAGAAGAAAACTCAGAGGGGTGTGTATATACTATATGCTTGTACATGCATGTGTAGTGTGACCTAAGTGTAAGTAGAAGTAGCAAGACGTACCCAAAATCTTGCATGTTTACGAGATGGAAAAAAGACACCAACACTCCTACCATGTAAAACAAATATGTACAGGCTTCTGTTTTACACTCGCTTGGCATGACTGTAGTACCTCCCTGGGCAGCTGCTGTCTACCAACCTATTACCTAGTACAGTGGACCCCCGGATAACGATCAGCTCCCAACTCGACCAATTATGTAAGTTTATTTTTGTAAGTGCTTTTGTAGGTGTATTTTTAGGGGTCTGAAAAGGACTAATTTAATTCACAATATTTCTTATGGGAACAAATTCGGTCTATAACGGCACCCAAACAGACTTCTGGATTGAAATAATATCGTTATGCGGGGGTCCACTGTACACAGAAAAATATAAACAATAAAATATAAACAGCAACAGCCTACATTTGTTGTCCCATCACCCATATATGTTACAACTGGTATTGTTTATTTAGCAATTCACAATATACAAGTCTTAGTCTCTGAAATGCTGTGTATCGTATGGGCTTTCTGATTATTGTATATTTTGTAAATCCAGTGATTAGAAATAAAGAATCTGGATCTAAATTAAAACAACTACTAATCCATTAAAATGCTTACGTCTCCACCGCTCTCCTTCATGCCAACAATATTTGGATGGTTGGCAAGGTCAACTATCACATCAAGGCTTAAATCAATCACTGAAAAATAAGTCTGACTTTAGTGAATTACACAATCATGTAAACCATTTAGAATGAACTTTACAACATGATCACGATTTTTCTGAAGGGTGTGTTGTTTAGTGTTGCCATGAAGACTTCATCATTATCCATCTCTATAATATAGGTATTATAAAAGCTTGTAGATTAGAACATAGCACAAATGGAAACTACTGCCTGCATATAATAATTTTTTTCTTATATATTCTGGAACAGTATACAAAATATCCTGTCATTACTGTGTTGTAATGTATTGGATTACATCATCAATGACTTGTACTATTTACATCTCATTGACTTACAAAAAAAAAAAGGTTCAGTTGAATTCTTCCAATTCATCATATTTCCTTTGGCAAAGACATTATAAAAATAAAAGTAATGAGAATGTGACAAACAGTTTCTGGAGAAGTAAATAAAATAAAACTCAGGATATAACAAACCACATCTTCCAAACTATTACAAATCACTTCCAAAATAAACTGAGGTGTATGACAGATACCTGAACAACCACAATGCTGGAAAAATCTAAATATTTACTTCTGATTAAATTTAACTCGTGTCCAATACCTAAAATAATGGGCAAATAATGATAAGCACAAGTGAAGCATTTTATTTATTATTAGAGTTAATAAAGTATTACTTCAAGTCTTTTGTTTGTGTTGTTACCTGTAAAAACAGGAACACTGTAGAGAATAACTGGAACAGGACTATTGTCAGCTACTGCTGTAAAGTGTGCATGGAGAGCTTTGTCCTGAAAAGAGAATTGCATAAGTGTTATGAATATATGGGATACCAGAATACAAGAAGGTACAGAATGAGGTTCATCTACATTTTCATTATTTTTCCTTCTATTTTCTCTTCCCTTATTCTTTATGTTTGCATACCTCTCTATGGGAGATTAAAAATTTTCCACATCATGCATATGTATACTCAAACAGCTTGTTATTTTCAAACTCAAATATTCTTACCTAGGTTATTTAAAAAGTTATTTTAAATCTTAATCAAGGAAAATGTTCCCTAGCATGAAAATGGAGAAATGCTGTATAAAATTTGTTCTCTGTGATAGTGAAATCATGAATTACTGGCAAAAATTGTAAATAAGTTTCACAGCTCTTTTAAAGAGTTATTACCTTCATGCTTCCTTTATAATAGCTTGGAGTAACAACCATCACTGCATCAGCACCAGCTGCAGCCATTTTTTGAGTCATGTTGATTGTATCTCGTGTAGCTAGAAGATAAAAGTTATGTCAGCATTGAAACATACACCAAGAATAGTTACTGCTATAGTATAATTGCAAGGTTTATAAATTACTATTAACAGAAAACTATCACGTGTGTCATTTATTCTCTAATTGTACAACTGCTAGGCTAGGCTCTCTGAAGTTCATTTTTATTTTTTTTTTGGTATGAACACAATACAACTGATGGGTCAGAGATTAGGAGGACCTTTAAGACAATGGTCATTCTTTTCACATGTTTCTTAGTGCAAGCAGATGACGGCTGTTTCATCTTTATGATAGCCAAACCAAAATAATTTTTTTGTTTGATTATTTCCATCTGGAGTCTGTTATTAAACTAAGGTATTTAAAATTTCATGGCAGTACATGGAAAAGACAGGGAGCATGAGCCCTCCCATGATACATACTGAGATTATCTGGTATAAATTACTAAATAAAATCAGCTACCTTCAATTCTATCTAGATAGGTGAGATTAAGAAAGTACAGCATAAGGCTCTCTTCGGGCCCTCATTTCCCTCGGTCCATGCTCAACTGTAAATGTGGCAACCAACTGAAGAATGGAGAGTTAAAAATAAAAAAACCCAAAGCCATAAACAGCTCATATATTTTACAGTAATAAAAGGTGTTATAATAATGTACTTATCCCAAACTGCACAAAGCTCAATCAGTCTATTTTTCTACATTACTAATTTTGAGGTATGTACCATTAACAAGAGACAATCATTCTATGACCTTTTTAAAGCTGACTGTCCAATAAATCTGAATTGTTAACGGACTAAGTTCACTAATTTCAAAAATATATTTACCCAGTGAACTGCAACAATAATGAATACGTAATTCTGGATTTAATGGGCTGCTAAATCTGGGATTGTCCACAAAAATAAGGCTCATAAACACGCTAGATAACAGGGATATCTTGTTACTCCTACTTACACTTTGGTCACACTTCACAGACACGCACATGCATATATATATACATACATCTAGGTTTTTCTCCTTTTTCTAAATAGCTCTTGTTCTTCTTTATTTCTTCTATTGTCCATGGGGAAGTGGAAAAGAATCTTTCCTCCGTAAGCCATGCGTGTCGTATGAGGCGACTAAAATGCCGGAAGCAATGGGCTAGTAACCCCTTCTCCTGTAGACACTTACTAAAAAAGAGAAGAAGAAAAACTTTATAAAACTGGGATGCTTAAATGTGCGTGGATGTAGTGCGGATGACAAGAAACAGATGATTGCTGATGTTATGAATGAAAAGAAGTTGGATGTCCTGGCCCTAAGCGAAACAAAGCTGAAGGGGTAGGAGAGTTTCAGTGGGGGAAATAAATGGGATTAAATCTGGAGTATCTGAGAGAGTTAGAGCAAAGGAAGGGGTAGCAGTAATGTTAAATGATCAGTTATGGAAGGAGAAAAGAGAATATGAATGTGTAAATTCAAGAATTATGTGGATTAAAGTAAAGGTTGGATGCGAGAAGTGGGTCATAATAAGCGTGTATGCACCTGGAGAAGAGAGGAATGCAGAGGAGAGAGAGAGATTTTGGGAGATGTTAAGTGAATGTATAGGAGCCTTTGAACCAAGTGAGAGAGTAATTGTGGTAGGGGACCTGAATGCTAAAGTAGGAGAAACTTTTAGACAGGGTGTGGTAGGTAAGTTTGGGGTGCCAGGTGTAAATGATAATGGGAGCCCTTTGATTGAACTTTGTATAGAAAGGGGTTTAGTTATAGGTAATACATATTTTAAGAAAAAGAGGATAAATAAGTATACAAGATATGATGTAGGGCGAAATGACAGTAGTTTGTTGGATTATGTATTGGTAGATAAAAGACTGTTGAGTAGACTTCAGGATGTACATGTTTATAGAGGGGCCACAGATATATCAGATCACTTTCTAGTTGTAGCTACACTGAGAGTAAAAGGTAGATGGGATACAAGGAGAATAGAAGCATCAGGGAAGAGAGAGGTGAAGGTTTATAAACTAAAAGAGGAGGCAGTTAGGGTAAGATATAAACAGCTATTGGAGGATAGATGGGCTAATGAGAGCATAGGCAATGGGGTCGAAGAGGTATGGGGTAGGTTTAAAAATGTAGTGTTAGAGTGTTCAGCAGAAGTTTGTGGTTACAGGAAAGTGGGTGCGGGAGGGAAGAGGAGCGATTGGTGGAATGATGATGTAAAGAGAGTAGTAAGGGAGAAAAAGTTACCATATGAGAAGTTTTTACAAAGTAGAAGTGATGCAAGGAGGGAAGAGTATATGGAGAAAAAGAGAGAGGTTAAGAGAGTGGTGAAGCAATGTAAAAAGAGAGCAAATGAGAGAGTGGGTGAGATGTTATCAACAAATTTTGTTGAAAATAAGAAAAAGTTTTGGAGGGAGATTAACAAGTTAAGAAAGCCTAGAGAACAAATGGATTTGTCAGTTAAAAATAGGAGAGGAGAGTTATTAAATGGAGAGTTAGAGGTATTGGGAAGATGGAGGGAATATTTTGAGGAATTGTTAAATGTTGATGAAGATAGGGAAGCTGTGATTTCGTGTATAGGGCAAGGAGGAATAACATCTTGTAGGAGTGAGGAAGAGCCAGTTGTGAGTGTGGGGGAAGTTCGTGAGGCAGTAGGTAAAATGAAAGGGGGTAAGGCAGCCGGGATTGATGGGATAAAGATAGAAATGTTAAAAGCAGGTGGGGATATAGTTTTGGAGTGGTTGGTGCAATTATTTAATAAATGTATGGAAGAGGGTAAGGTACCTAGGGATTGGCAGAGAGCATGCATAGTTCCTTTGTATAAAGGCAAAGGGGATAAAAGAGAGTGCAAAAATTATAGGGGGATAAGTCTGCTGAGTATACCTGGTAAAGTGTATGGTAGAGTTATTATTGAAAGAATTAAGAGTAAGACGGAGAATAGGATAGCAGATGAACAAGGAGGCTTTAGGAAAGGTAGGGGGTGTGTGGATCAGGTGTTTACAGTGAAACATATAAGTGAACAGTATTTAGATAAGGCTAAAGAGGTCTTTGTGGCATTTATGGATTTGGAAAAGGCGTATGACAGGGTGGATAGGGGGGCAATGTGGCAGATGTTGCAAGTGTATGGTGTAGGAGGTAGGTTACTGAAAGCAGTGAAGAGTTTTTACGAGGATAGTGAGGCTCAAGTTAGAGTATGTAGGAAAGAGGGAAATTATTTCTCAGTAAAAGTAGGCCTTAGACAAGGATGTGTGATGTCACCGTGGTTGTTTAATATATTTATAGATGGGGTTGTAAGAGAAGTAAATGCGAGGGTCTTGACAAGAGGCGTGGAGTTAAAAGATAAAGAATCACACACAAAGTGGGAGTTGTCACAGCTGCTCTTTGCTGATGACACTGTGCTCTTGGGAGATTCTGAAGAGAAGTTGCAGAGATTGGTGGATGAATTTGGTAGGGTGTGCAAAAGAAGAAAATTAAAGGTGAATACAGGAAAGAGTAAGGTTATGAGGATAACAAAAAGATTAGGTGATGAAAGATTGAATATCAGATTGGAGGGAGAGAGTATGGAGGAGGTGAATGTATTCAGATATTTGGGAGTGGACGTGTCAGCAGATGGGTCTATGAAAGATGAGGTGAATCATAGAATTGATGAGGGAAAAAGAGTGAGTGGTGCACTTAGGAGTCTGTGGAGACAAAGAACTTTGTCCTTGGAGGCAAAGAGGGGAATGTATGAGAGTATAGTTTTACCAACGCTCTTATATGGGTGTGAAGCATGGGTGATGAATGTTGCAGCGAGGAGAAGGCTGGAGGCAGTGGAGATGTCATGTCTGAGGGCAATGTGTGGTGTGAATATAATGCAGAGAATTCGTAGTTTGGAAGTTAGGAGGAGGTGCGGGATTACCAAAACTGTTGTCCAGAGGGCTGAGGAAGGGTTGTTGAGGTGGTTCGGACATGTAGAGAGAATGGAGCGAAACAGAATGACTTCAAGAGTGTATCAGTCTGTAGTGGAAGGAAGGCGGGGTAGGGGTCGGCCTAGGAAAGGTTGGAGAGAGGGGGTAAAGGAGGTTTTGTGTGCGAGGGGCTTGGACTTCCAGCAGGTATGCATGAGCGTGTTTGATAGGAGTGAATGGAGACAAATGGTTTTTAATACTTGACGTGCTGTTGGAGTGTGAGCAAAGTAACATTTATGAAGGGGTTCAGGGAAACCGGCAGGCCGGACTTGAGTCCTGGAGATGGGAAGTACAGTGCCTGCACTCTGAAGGAGGGGTGTTAATGTTGCAGTTTAAAAACTGTAGTGTAAAGCACCCTTCTGGCAAGACAGTGATGGAGTGAATGATGGTGAAAGTTTTTCTTTTTCGGGCCACCCTGCCTTGGTGGGAATCGGCCAGTGTGATAATAAAAAATAATAATAATAATAGATTTAGCAAAAGCTGTTATATCCAAAATTAATTCACCCAGTGGACTGTAAGAATAGTGGATAATTCTGAGTTTAATGAAGTTTGTCCATTTCTTCTGAATCTTATCCAACTACAGATTTTGTCAGTTAAATCCAAAATCTGTTAAACTGAGCCACATTAAATCAAGGTTTTACTCTAATATTTTAATAAAGAAAAAAGAGAAAAATTACTAATTGATACACACACACACTAATACAAGTAGGGAGAATTACCATTCACTAATACCACTTACATTCACATCCTGAGCCACACAAAATAAGCTTCTCTGAATTTTTGGGGAGAAACTCGCGGACACGTTTCACCACCTCCACACGTTCCTCTGGAGTTAGATAGACATATTCTCCATTGCTGCCTTCCACCACCAAGCCTGAATAAGTAATAATAAAAATTATAATAATATTGAAAAATTATTTTATAAGATACATCTGTGTTAGAAGTATTGGTCTACTGTATCTATTTATTTCTTACATGGGAAAACCATTTTAGGAAGACAAAAAGCAGCTAATAATTTAAATAAGCTGAAATTTTCACTGATTCTAAAAAAAAGTTTGCTATTAAAAAAAATACAATTCTTAACTAGGTGGGGGGGATGATTAAAACTAATATATTGAAATCAGTACATTACTGCAGATGTGATTTATATAATGTACGCAAGGAAAATGCATCACATTCAGGAGAAATGTGCAATAAATTTTTATCTGCATGCTACACATCATAACAATTTACTATACATAAAGCTACAATACAGTACTGTGGACCCCCGACTTACGATCAGCTCCCAACTCGAACAATTATGTAAGTGTAATTTTGTAAGTGTATTTTTGGGGGTCTGAAACAGACTAATCTAATTTACAATATTCCTTATGGGAACAAATTCGTTCGGTAACGGCGCCCGAACAGACTTCTGGAATGAATTAATATCGTGAGTCGGGGGTCCACTGTATTATTATATTTCCCTACATCATATTTGTGCTCCAAACATTCGCGAATTTGCAAGATTCGCGAGATTCTTGATCCCGTAACCCTCACGAATGTGGAGGGCCTCCTGTACAGCAATATTTTAATCCGTCTTTCAAAGTATGTGATGAGTGTGTAGTTTCCCAATACTGTACAACCTCTCCTCACTTAGTGACGTACTCATTTACTGACACCTTGGACTTACAACGGGCTCTCTGACCAATATTTACACCTAAATAATGTAAGTGTATTTTTGGGGATCTGAAATGGACTAATCTAATTTACATTATTCTTTATGGGAACAAATTCATTTGGTAATGGCACTCGAACAGCCTTCTGGAACGAATTATGGCCGAAACTCAGGGTTCCACTGTATTCTGTTTACGTATTTCAATATACAGTACACTACTGTATAAACATTTAAAAATATACCACAAATGTTATACAGTAAATGGTGCAAAGGTGACATCAAAACAATATCAAAGAGGGTTGACACAAACCCACTACCATTATAGTATGCTCCTTACTTAGTGACGAATTCATTTAACGATATGGTCTTAGGAACGGAACTCTATTGTTAAGTGAGGAAAAGCTGTATTTAAAAGATAATACAGATAATAAAGATAATACAGTAAAGTCAAACTGAGGTACTTCCCAGTGGCCAACGATATGTAAGCATTTTTTTTTTTTATTAACACACAGGCCATCTCCCACCAAGGTAGGGTGGCCAGAAAAAGAAAAACTTTCACCATCATCATTCACTCCATCACTGTCTTGCCAGAGGCGTACTTACACTGCAATTATAAAACTGCAACATTAACACCCCTCCTTCAGAGTGCAGGCACTGTACTTCCTATCTCCAGGACTCAACTCTGGCCTGTCGATTTCCCTGAATCCCTTCATGAATTTTACCCTGTTCACACTCCAACAGCACGTCAAGTCCTAAAAACCATTTGTCTCCATTTGCTCCTATCTAACATGCTCATGCATGCTTGTTGGAAGTCCAAGCCCCATGTGCACAAAACCTCCTTTACTCCCTCCCTCCAACCTTTCCTAGGCTGACCCCTACCCCGCCTTCCCTCCACTATAGATTTATACACTCTCGAAGTCATTCTATTTTGTTCCATCCTCTCTACATGTCCAAACCACCTCAACAACTCCTCCTCAGCCCTCTGGATAATAGTTTTGGTAATCCTAAACTTTCCTCCTAATTTCCAAACTATGAATTCTCTGCATTATATTCACACCAGACACTGCTCTCAGACATGACATCTCCACTGCCTCCAGCATATTTAATAATGGTAAGGATAGGTTAACCTAACCTAGAATAGCTACAGTAATATTTAATTTTGATCTCATACATAAACTGGATGCACTATAATGTATTGAAAAATGAAATTGCTGTTTAGAAGAAGGGCTGCATTTTAATTTCACATCAAAGCACCTAAAAATTTCCTTTACAAGGATCCCAACAGAAATAAATCACATGACTTTACTTGGTTATCTTAGATTAAATTCTATATAATTTTCTCTATAACACTATTGTAAAAGTTTCTAATTATACATTAGGCCTCAATAAAAACTGGCATTTTTCTTATAATTCATATAATCAAAACAGAAAAGCAAAAGTTACATTATAATATGGTCTATCATATCCTACCAGGCCTGTGGCCTACCAGGCCAGTGGCCTGGTAGGCAACACACTCACTTCATGAGCTGAGTTTCTGTGGTTCAATCCACGGCAAGGGTGAAAACATTGGGTGTGTGTCCTTACACCTGCTGTCCCATTCATCTAACAAGCAAGAAGGTACCTGGGTGTTAGTCGACTGGTGTGGGTCGCATCCTGGATGACAAGACTGAGGACCCCAATAGAAGTAAGACAGACAGTCGCTCGATGATGCACTGTCTTTCTTGGGTTATCCTGGGTGGCTAACCCCCAGGGTTAAAAATATGAACAAAATCTTATCTTGCAATGAGTAATTATGAAGCTCTAGTTTTTGTGCAAGTCTGGCCCTTATTTATTCTTGAAACTGCTCAATATTAGGTTGGCTTTATCACTGACAGTGTTTTATGTTGTGCAAATGTAAAAAACTTAACCACATACAACCCATACTAACCTTACGTAAAATACCGAACGTTACATAACCTTACTCTACCAGGAGTAGATATGGAACCAGCATGTCTGTTCACAATTAATTTTGTCTTTGTTTACAATTGTTGTGATTGACCAGGAGTATCAATGTAAACTGTTAATTGACTGATGTACTGTATGTCCCAAAATATACTAATACATGTATTAATTTTAATATCTCTCAAAATAAAAATTTACACAAATAATTTGTGCAGGGCTAGACAATTTTTGAAAAGAGACTAGATCTCCATATTTACCCAAATATGTAAAAAAACTAATAATCAATATTTACTTTAACTGCTCTGAAAATAATGGTTATTAACTAAATTTCCCAGTAATAAATGGGTTATGGAATGGAGACATTTATATTTTTTATCTATGGCAAGGAAACTTTTTTTTGGCAATGCTATAAAAGGAACCTAACATAAGTTAACCTAACCTAGATTTTGAGTTAGTTTACCTGGAGAGGGTTTCGGGGGGTCAACGCCCCCACGGCTCAGTCTGAGACCAGGCAAAAAAGAAAAAAAAAGGCTCCTTCCCCACAGGGCCAAAATATAAATGTCTCCACTGCACAACCATTTTAATATTGTAAAATGTACATAATATAAAACCGAACAGCTTAAGTAAATATTAAAACCAAAAACACTTAATTAGCACAAAAACAATGTTTATAGCTAAACCCAAATTTAATATACACAAAACTATTGTACAGTAAACCATAAATTAATAACCAACTCCATCGAGCAGATGAAGTAAATATTGATCAAAATAATTACTATAATAACAGGAAACACTGAACCAACAGGTTTGATCCAATGAAGGGGAGTGCAACTAACACAGTTACCTATTTAGTGTCACGGCAGCAGGTGTGGGCACCTACCCATGTGACTTCAGTCATAAGACGACTTTCCCATACCTTCCACCCCGCCCGGGAATCGAACCCGCGACATTTCTATTGCAAGCCAAACCCAGCCACAGCTGAGCTGACACACACACTCACCTTTAAAAGGAATCATACTCCATATGGCGACATTTTGGGCCAGCTTATCATAGGCTATAGTCTCATCACGGTTGAAGGGGGTGGGTATGGGGGGGAAAATACCCCCGAGGTCTATACGTCTGGCCTGGCCTGGGGGTGCTGCTGACACATGCCGCCCAGGGCACACCCAGGGGTACAAGCAACCTAAAATTCGAGTGGTGGCAATCTTCCTGAGCAGTGCCATGTTGCAGACTGATAACAGTGATATAAGTTCATCAGTGTGGACCTTGACCACTGCTGGTCTATACTCTCTCTCTTACTCCAGGAATAACACCAACCACCACAACTCTTTATGCCCACTTGGGTTATTTATTTATTTATTTTATGTCTTTGCAAACACTACATTGAGATTTTGTATTTACAATAGTGGGTTGCAATGCAAAGCCAGCCTCTATTATGCCTAGGCATTATGGGCATTATCTCAGCAAGTAACTTTATGCCAACTTGGGTTATCTCAGCAAGTAACTTTATGCCAACTTGGGTTATCTCAGCAAGTAACTTTATTTAGGTACATTTACACTAGTTTAGTTCATTGCAATTATCACACCCAGTAACATATGTGTCAATTACTTAGGATAACCCAAAACAAGCAGGACGAATTAACTTATTTCCATCGGGACTTGTAAAAATCATATTAGAAACCTAGCTAGATACAGCAGAAATTAGTCATGATTATAACCTTAAAATAAATAACTCAACAGCGTGAAGAAATAGTTGAAATAATAAAAAAAAAAGGAATATGTAGAGAAAATCTGCTTAATATAAAGCACAAGAATGTTAACTATACAAGAAATCCCTTTCATTTTTTGTAATTTCATTCATTAGGAAGTTTTTTATCTCTTCCTAAACTGGTTTAACATAGGTTGATTTACACACAACTTCTATAAGACGTTTATAAAAACGTGTATATTGAACCTGCATAAAAACTTCTTTATCTACATTGTTTGACTACTGGTTTATCATCTGTATAAGTTGTATCATGTACTTGTAGAAATAAAGATTATTATTATTATTTAGATTAGATTAACATATTGTATCTTGCATGTGGTGGCCCGAATTGTCCTGTATAACCAGAGACTTATGTCCACAATAATAATAATAATAATAATAATAATAATAATAATAATAATAATAATAATAATAATAATAATAATAATAATAATAATAATAATATTTCTTTAGGTCACACACAGGCTCTCGGTAAGCTTTCATTTAGGGTTTAAAATATTAAATTAAAATGTTTCTTGTTGGTTACATTTTTAATAAGCTTCCCCGAGATGCACTAAGGGACTTTCCACTTTATTATTTTAGTGCCATCCAATTTTGTACAAACGATGTACGATGTGGAAATACATTTGACTGATTGACGACCCTTTTCACCCAGCAGTAAGTAGGTACCTGGGTGTTAGTTGAAAGGTGTGGGTGGCATCCTGGGGGGTGGTAGATCATATATAGGGCTGGGCTTTGAAATGAGCTGAGCTAATATAACTTTCAGCCTGTAAAACTGATTTGTGTTAAAAAATGCCCATACTTTATATATTTTGCAGGTTCTCTCATGATGGATCAACCATAATAATCTAACTCCAAGAAACATCAATATTTATTAGTACAATATATTAAAAAAAAATTCATGATTTTATTACGGGTCTGGGAAATTACATTTATAAATACCCATGTGAACGCCCTAAATATTAAGTAAACTCGAATGTTTTGACGTTGTTTATCCTGGGAGTAAAATACAGATTTGAGTTGCCGGGGTCTAGTTATCTCCTAGTGTTGCTAGGCGACTATGTCTGCCATATTAATGGATGTGTATCCAAAATAAATGGTAAATGTATTCACCAGTATCTCATTTAGAACAAGAGACATTTAATAATAGGAGTGAGAAAATACTATTATTATTATAATCAAGGGGGATGAGAAAATACTAGAGTTGGTACTCCTTACAAGCACAAAAGTGAGGGTGACTGTCCTGCTGGCATCTCCCTCAGTCCAAGTTATTTTGATACTTTCCGAAATATGATCCAATTGAACACTCAACTGAGATCAGTTAGTGGTGATGCTGCAGCCTTTGTATACGTCTTGGCTTGATACTTATGTGCTTCACTGTGCTTTGTGTATTTTCGGAACTGGAATAAAAGCATACTAGGAGCTGCTCTGTTAAGTTGATTACAATATATTAAAAAAAAAAAAGCTTTGCCATGAATCCAGTCATATATACCTGGAGAGGGTTTAGGGGGGTCAACGCCCCCGCGGCTCAGTCTGAGACCAGGCTTCATTCTGAGACTGGACCTCATTCTGAGACCAGGCTTCATTCTGAGACCAGGCTTCATTCTGAGACCAGGCTTCATTCTGAGACTGGACCTCATTCTGAGACCAGGCTTCATTCTGAGACCAGGCTTCATTCTGAGACTGGACCTCATTCTGAGACCAGGCTTCATTCTGAGACTGGACATCATTCTGAGACCAGGCTTCATTCTGAGACCAGGCTTCATTCTGAGACTGGACCTCATTCTGAGACCAGGCTTCATTCTGAGACCAGGCCTCATTCTGAGACTGGACCTCATTCTGAGACCAGGCTTCATTCTGAGACCAGGCCTCATTCTGAGACTGGACCTCATTCTGAGACCAGGCTTCATTCTGAGACCAGGCTTCATTCTGAGACCAGGCCTCATTCTGAGACTGGACCTCATTCTGAGACCAGGCTTCATTCTGAGACCAGGCTTCATTCTGAGACCAGGCCTCATTCTGAGACTGGACCTCATTCTGAGACCAGGCTTCATTCTGAGACCAGGCTTCATTCTGAGACCAGGCCTCATTCTGAGACTGGACCTCATTCTGAGACCAGGCTTCATTCTGAGACCAGGCCTCATTCTGAGACTGGACCTCATTCTGAGACCAGGCTTCATTCTGAGACCAGGCTTCATTCTGAGACCAGGCTTCATTTTGAGACCAGGCTTCATTCTGAGACCAGGCTTCATTTTGAGACCAGGCTTCATTCTGAGACCAGGCATCATTCTGAGACCAGGCATCATTCTGAGACCAGGCTTCATTCTGAGACCAGGCCTCATTCTGAGACCAGGCCTATATTATACAATACTTACAAAAATAGGGTATTTTTACCTTTAAATATCTTCGGTGTATGCTATTCAGGACTGATTAACATAACGACATGAGATACTTCAGCCCAGCCCCTCCCCCTAACGAGGGCTACACGTACACTTCTGAACGTTGTCTAGACTTGCACACACACCCCACTACCAGCAACCTATCTTTATTTCACTAAATTATTTTCCGAAGAGATTACCATCGGTTGGTTGGTTAGTGGAGTTTAAAGCATAGCTCCTACACTAGTCGTTAAGACTGTATGTCACTTGTTCACCGCTGGTCAAGAATACTTTAATCCCTAAAATAGGGATTAAATAATCCCTATTGCTCACATAATAAATCTATCAATCACCACTAATACCGTACCGGAGGGGTTCAAGGAGGCCAGAGTTACTCCTGTCTTCAAGAAAAATAGTAGGTCTGATGTAAGCAACTATAGGCCTGTTCGTATACTCAGTATAATATCTAAAATTCTAGAGAGGGCGGTGTATTCTCAAGTAGTTATGTACCTTAATGACAACAACATTCTCCATAGCTATCAATCGGGCTTTAGAAGATCCTATTCAACCGACACCTCCCTAATTAATCTGATGGATTACCTGAGAACTCCCCTCAAGGAAGGTTCCTTGATGTTGGTGAGGGGCTCTTGATTTAGGGAATTTGATCTGTGCTCCAGTTCCCCGAATTAAGCCTGAATGCCTTCCACATCCCCCCCCAGGCGCTGTATAATCCTCCGGGTTTAGCGCTTCCCCCTTGATTATAATAATAATACCTGAGAACTGAAATGTCAAAGGGGAACCTCATAGGTATGGTAACCTTAGACTTGCAAAAGGCCTTCGATAATGTCATCCACAATATATTATGTAATAAACTTCAAGCTATCGGTATAGGTTCTGTAGACTGGTTTAAGTCCTACCTTAGCAACAGGAGACAAATAGTCAAAATCAACAAAACAGAATCAGAACCACTGCCGATAACATGTGGAGTTCCCCAAGGTAGTATTCTGGGTCCCTTATTATTCTTATGTTATGTCAATGATATGCCTATCAGCGTCAAGTGCAAACTCCTACTGTATGCAGATGACAGTGCTCTGTTAGTGTCAGGTAAAGACCCACAAGATATTGCTAATGTTTTAACACTGGAACTGGAGTCCTGCAGCAAATGGTTAGTAGACAACAAACTATCATTACACCTAGGGAAAACTGAAGCCATTCTCTTTGGCACGAAACATAAACTGAGAAGGGTAAATAATTTTAATGTTCAATGTAATGGGGAGCCCATCACTTTGGTTTCATCAGTAAAATATTTGGGAATCCCCTTTGACCCATGCATGTCAGGAGAATTGATAGGGAACAGTGTAGTAAAGAAAGCGAATGCCAGACTGAAGTTCCTGTATAGACAAGCACAGTGTCTACCTACTGAGGCTCGCAGGACCCTATGTCTAGCCCTTATACAATGCCATATGGATTACGCATGCTCTTCTTGGTACTCTGCCTTGGCAAAAAAACTGAAAGATAGACTGCAAATCACCCAGAACAAAATCGTAAGATTCATCCTGGGGCTGGGACCAAGAGAACATGTAGGCCAGGATGAATTACAGCAGTTGGATATGCTGAATGTTGAAGACAGAGTAAAACAACTAAAGCTAAATCATGTTTATAAAATTGCTCACAAACAATGTCCAGAATATCTTGCTGTCAATTTTGTCAAGGTTGGGAACCAAAGCAATCATAGTACTAGGGGGAGAGAGCACAACTTTGTAGTACCCACAGTCATTGGCCAGGCTTCAAACACCTTTTATTGTACAGCAATAAAGGAATGGAACAGACTGCCCGCACATGTCAAAGCCAGTCATAGCATGAACCAGTTCAAGAAGAGTGCCAAAAGGTGTCTGATGAAAGGGAGGGGAATGATTTTCTATTTTTTAGCTAACATACGTGTAAATTTTACCATATTCCTAGTAATGACCCTCGTATTGTAGATAGTCTTAATGACCCTCGTGTAGTAGATAGTCTTTTTAGTATGATAATAAGATGTTATCTTCATTGTAGAATAATAAGAAAATATTATAACCTTTATATTATAATAATAAGGTAAAAGGACCCCAATGGAAATAAGTCACTCTGTCTGACTTTTCTGGGTTATCCTAGGTTCTCTACACATATGCTGCTATGTATGATAATTCTA